ACCTACATTTATTGAGTACTGTGCCAGCAGCATGCTGAGTTTGTCATTCCTTTTTAAACCTCAAGACATTCCCAAAAGCTAGGTTCTGTTATTAAGTCCATTTCTCTGATGAGTAAAACAAAGGCCGGAGAGGTTAAGTAACCTGCCCAAGGTCATGTAGCTAGTAAGCCATGGAACTGGGGTGTGAATTGTTCCACAGGTGCTTGAAGAGGCATTATCAGAGAAACTTTGGGTGAACATACAATCCTGGCTCACTCCCCTCTGTTCTGCCTTGCCCCCACCAGCTCCAGGATCTTCTGAGCCACTAAGCTAACAGGAGCGGCCTGCCCATCCCGAGCCCTAGCAAAGTGGGCTCAGCGTCCGGAGGAACAGAGGCAGCCTTGTGGCAGGAGCTCCCCCCACCCGCCCCCCGCACCCAGCCCCAGCACCACCCCCCTTGGTTGGGTCCATTTCAACACCCCAGAGCAGCACATTCCATTCTCTGGCACAGCTGGGGGTTGGGGATTCCGGATTCCCCTGGCTGCTTGCTCTCTTCAGGGCCCCAGCAGAGCTTGCTGTCTGGGCTGGGATGCTGGGTCCCAGCCACATACATTCCAGCAGCAACCACCCCCCACGTTGGATTTCCCAAAGAGTGAACTTTAGCCAGGATTACAGCCGACTAAACAGTTGTGGGTTGTGAGCTTCCTTTGTGGGCCTCAAGAGCCTGGATGCTGATAGGGAGGAGGGGTGGTGGGGTCAGGGGTGGGCTGCTTTGGGTCAGGAGCAAAGCCGCAGTCACAGGCTGGCTCCTCTGTTGCTGTCAGGGCCCTTGGAGTGGGACCTGAGCAGGACTGCCAGAAATCTTCCTGTGAGGCAGGGTGGCTGAGGCTTTGCTATCTGTCCTACCCCCACACCTCGGGGCTTTGCCCCCTGCAAGCAGTAGTATAGTGGTTGAGAACCTGGGGTCAAGTCCTAGTACCACTACATGGATCACTACTGTGTACTCTGAAGCGTGTCCTTCAGTAAGCTCACGAACCTCTCTGGTCCTCAGCCTCATCCTCCTTAAAACGGGGATAGTAATGCTTACCTCTGAGGGCTGTTGGCAGGCTTAAATTAGAATACCAGAGTGAGGGGCACGTGGGTTGCTCATTGGTTGAGCGTCCAGCTCTTGATTTCAGATAAGGTCAATGTGATCTCAGGGCCATGAGACTGAGCCCCGTGTCCGGCTGTGTGCTCAGCACACAATCTGCTTGAGGATTCTCTCTTTCTCTCCCTCTGCCCCTCCCCTCTCATAGGGGTGCGCTTGCTTGCTCTATCTTCCCTATCTCCCCCCACCCCCGCCTCGGTAAAATAAATAAACAAAATCTTTAAAAAGAAAAAAATAAGAATCCCAGAGTGCTTGGAATAGTGCCTGTCACCCAGCATGGGCTTGGAATTTATTATGTCTTCTCCCTGCTGTTGGCTTACATACTCCTTGGGGAGGGGTGTATTTTCTTTTCCTTTTTTTTTTTTTTTTTAAAGATTTTTATTTATTTATTTGATAGAGATCACAAGTATGCAGAGAGGCAGAGAGAGAGGGGGAAGCAGGCTCTCTGCTGAGCAGAGACCCCAATGTGGGGCTCGATCCCAGGACCCTGAGATCATGACCTGAGCCTAAGGCAGAGGCTTAACACACTGAGCCACCCAGGGGCCCCGAGGGGTGTATTTTCTGAAGTAAAACGCCAAGTGTAGGCTCTGTCCTGAAAGTAACAACTCTGGGTTTTAGATGAGATGTTCCTACCTCTTCCCTGCCTTCCTGCCAGTAGGTTTCTTAGTTAATAAATCAGTTAGGAATGTACTGTTATGTATGGGCACCATGCTAGCCAGGTCAAGGCCTTTGGTTAATACAAATACCAATTACCATTTAATGAATATCTTCTAAATGCTGGGCACTGGTTTGAGGAACTTGTCATATGTTATTCCCACGTAACACTCAGCCAGCCTGCGAAATAGACATTATTCCGTCATTTAGTAGTTGGGCAGTGTTCCCAATGTCACATGGTCACCAAGTCACAGGATTGGAACCCAAAACTGGGCTCTACTACCTCTCTTCAACCTGATCCAGGGTACTTCTTCTTCTTCTTTTTTTTTTTTTTAATTTAAGATTTATTTATTTTTTAGAGTGGGGAGAGGGGCAGAGACAGACAGAAGCAGAATCCCAGCTGAGTGTGGAGCCCTATGCGGGACTCAGTCTCATGACCATGAGATCATGACCTGAGCCGAAATGAAAAGTCGGATGCTTAACTGACTGAGCCGTGTAGGCACCCCAGATCCTGAGTATTTAGCAGCCTGCCCCAAATCCTTCCGGTTCTTTATCAGAACTCTGATTTTGTACCCAACTGAAACACCTGACTTCCTCTGCTTCCTCGCACCTGGGGGTGGCCATGTGACTTAGTTCTGGCCGGGGAGCTAAAAGTGGAAATCTACCAGGTGGGACTTGTTGGGAAATTACTGTTTTCCTGATCAAAAGGGCCAGAGGCAGCTGACATGCTGTTTTTGCTCTCCTTCTCTGCCTTGCTGCCTGGCATGTGGTTAGAAGTGGGGAGGAGGAGGCACTGTTTGTAACCAAGAGAACAGAAGCTGTCTCCTGGCAGAGCGGGAAGACAGAATGAGCCTGGGACACGGACCTCACACCTGTCTGTTTCTAGCCCTCTGGTGTGGAGAAGCCCCACTGTTTCTTGGGGTTTCTGTCAGATGTAGTCATTCACTGACACACAGCCCAGATGCTCGCTGGGCAGCAGCAGCTGTCTGTTTCCAGACCAGCCAGGAGGGAGTGTGTTGTGGCTGAAGGAAATGAAGGGTGGGCTCAGGCCTTGTGGGGCTTCCCCTCCTTTTGGGGAGGATTCTTCTTGGTCCCAGGAAGAGATTGCTGGGGGGTCTGACAGCAGATGTTGGGGACAGAGCTGATGTAAGAGCAGAGCCAGACCCCTGTGTCAGGGGTGGCCGAGGACTGTCTTACTGGGGCTTCCTGGGATGGGCGAGGGGAGCCCCTCCCCTGCCTGCTCCATCTCGCTAGCTGCCAGCACCTGACAGAGGTCAGTATTGTGCTCCCGCCAGAAGTAGCTGGAGTCCTGTCTGTTCAGTGGAAAAATAATTCCTGGTCCTGGTTGACCAAAGAAGTGTCCATAAATATTTGGTCGGGGTAGGAGGCTGGGAGACAAGGGGCAGATTCAGGGAGCTGTGGGCTGGGCAGGCTTGGGATGAGGGTGGGTGGCGGTGGCTTCCTCAGAGTTGAGGAGAAACAAGCAGGCCTCTGCTGCTCCTGACCTGTGGCGAGGCCACCTGACTGCCCAGGGAGGAGATTTATGGGCAGGCTGTCAGACCACCTGTTAGCTCACCCTGGCCCCACAGCAGAATGGGGGCCCTTTGGCCTACCTCGTTTCTCTGTGGCATAGTGCTTCTCCGAGAGCCCTGGAAGCCAAGTCCTCGTAAGAGAATGCAGCTGTGCTGTGTTAGAGAAGCAGGAAGCCCTGCCTGGGCTGGGCAGCTGGACCCTCACTGGTGAGGAAAGCTGCTCTGGGGGCATCACCAGCTCCCTGCCCTGGATACATCTGCCATGTCCCTCAGCATCTGCTGAGGGTCTCTTTCCAAAGGCTGGACGTTTGAATGGCAGGAGCCTGTTGCCTCCATTTTAGGCCTTCTGCCCTCCCTGCCCCATTCAGCTCCAGGCGCAGCACCATCTGCTCCGAGTTCGCTGAAGAAGCCCTCAGTCGTCACAGGCACTGCTTCCTGCATGTAGGACTGAGACCCAGCCTGAGGTCACCCCAGCAACCCCCACCCCCCGCTGCCTCAGCTATTGGCTCATCTAGATTGGGGTCTTCAACCCAGGCTGCATACCACCCCGGGGAGCACCTAGAGATTCAGATTTCTGAGCACCCTCAAGAGATTCCAAGTTGGTTGTTGCAGAGTGGGGTCCTCTATTTGGCAAGACCTCTCTAGATGATTTGAAGATTTATGTGTCAAAATGCGGATTCAGATACAGTAGGTGTGGGGTGGGGCCCGAGCTTTTATGTGTTTTCTCCCTGGCTCCCAGGGGCTCCTGCCCTTCTGCTTCCTGTGGCACAGGTCTACACCGTTATCCCCGCAAGTCAGGACTGGTGCCCAGGGGCAGTCTGAGTGCCGAAGGGGTAGGAGGTGACACCTCTAGGCCCTTGGCTCTTCAGAGTAGTTCCCTGTGGTGCAGCCTTCTTGGGATCTGAGGAGGAGGCAAGGTCATGTTGTGGGGCTGTGGGAGCCCTTTGACCATGGGAGAAGGCTGGGGATCTTGGTGTCCCTCTTCCTCTTCAGGAACAAGAGGACGGTCCTCTCCATTTGTCACAGTGATGGGGATGAGAAGGGGGATCACTGTGTGCTCTCAGGGGACCTTACGAGAATAGGGGCATTGTTCTTTGGCAAGTATGTCTGTGTGGATGGGCCATGGGCTATGACAAGGAATCTCTTTCTAAAAGTCCCTTCTGAACCTTCCTCTCTCCACCTTGGGGCCAGCTGACAAAGAAATAACCTAGTCAAAACCAACTTTTTTTTTTTTTTAATTTAATTAAAAACTTAAAAAAATTAGAAACTGAGCCTTGCCTGCATCAGATCTAGTGCGTGTGGCCTTGAAGCGGTGGCGATAATTTAATCATCATCAGGGTAATGGGGACATGCAGAGGCTGAGGGATGAACCCTAAAAAGCGGCCTCTGGGAGGGAGTCCGGGCTGGGCCTGTCTCCAGTCTAGCAGGGAGGGGATGGGGAAGGTGGGGAGCTGTGGCTGGAGGGCACTGTGACCCTAATGCCTCTCTTTTGGGGGACTGTGATGACACGAGTGGGCAGTGGGGGCCGGGAGCTGTCCCACAGATAGCTCAGCCTAGTACTGAGACTTTCCTCTTCAAGGCAAGGCCTCACCACCAGCAGAGGGGAGCTGACACCAGGGTCTGCTCAGTAAACTGTCTCCTTGGGCTGCTCAGAGCCCCTCAGAGCTTCCCTCGCGCTCTTCCACTCTTCCACTCTTTCTGAAACGCTGGGGTTCCTTCCCAAATGAGAAAGCCCTGCTCCGAAGAGAAGAAGGCCCCAGGGGCCCCGGAACCCCTCAGTCACCGACGGCTCAGGCTCCATGCCCATTCCTTAGGGCCTGTGCTGGTAAGAACTGCATGAAACCACTCAGGCAGGGGCTGGGTCAGCCTGGGAATAGGGGTGAGGCCAAGTGGGCAGGCAGGGAGTGTGCCCCCCGGGGTGGGAGAGGGCAAGGCACAGCCGGCTGGGTGGGGCAGGGAGCAGCGGCCTTCAGTGGGGTTCGGCGGCCCCGTAGAAGAAGGGGTAGTAGAGGGAGCAGGGGTAGGAGAACATGAATTTGACTGCAAACTTCATCTCCTTATTCTTCTTGTCCCAGCGGTAGACGGCCATGAGCAGCAGCTGCCCGTCCACCTTGCGGCCCATGACCAGGAAGCCGCCGGCCAGGCTGTCCAGCTGCGGGCAGGGGCAGCTGGCGCCATTCTTCATGTGCAGCACCAGCCGCTTGGTGTCCTTCCGCTTCAGGGGGCCTGGCTTGAGCAGCTTCTTCTTTTTCTGGGCTCCAATCAGCTTCCGGTCCCCATTCTCTATCTTGATCTCCTTGATGCGCATTTTAACCACTGTGTGTGTGCAGAGAGGGCAGAGGGAGGGGCAGGGTGAGGACGGATGGGTTCGCTCAGGCTGCTCTCAGGCCCCCAGTGGGTGCCTGTGCCCGAAGTTCCACACCTGGGCCTCGGGGAGGTAGACTTCATGATCCCTGGGCTGACTTCCAGATGGGATTTCTGGCTCTGTGTGTGTGTGTGTGTGTGTGTGTGTAGCCGTGGTGGGTGGGCTGGTAAATGTTTGACAGCTGGCCCTGGGGAGGGGTCCTGCTCTGTAGCACCGGCTGGTTTCCATGAGGTCCGTGCCCTGTCACGGGGGCCCACCACATCATGGGGTGCTGGATTGAGCAGCGTGCACATGACCAGCTCTTGCTGGTGTGAACACACCACTGTGACCTTTGTGAGACTGTATGGTACGGGTGGGAGTGTGGTGTCTGGGGCTGTGTGTCTGATATTGGACAGTATGTCTGTGGTGTGTCTGCAGGGTGGGGGTGGGGGACGGGGAGATGCTTGAAGGCAAGAGGGTGGTCGGGGTGACCACCCAGGGTACACACGGTGGCTGTAGAGAGCCTAACACAGGGGTTGGGAGTCTGGAACTTGGGCAGGTCACTTAGGCTCATCTCCCACTTCTTCACGCCCCTGGACCCCCATCTCTGTAAGCAGCCAGGGAGATGCCCAAGAATGACTCTGTTTACCCGGGGAAGGAAACTGTTGTAAAATCTCTTTCAGTCTTTTTCTTTCCTTAACCACTCTCTTGTTCTCTCTTGGACACACACACACACACACACACACACACACACACTCACCCCTTGCAATAGGAGTATTCTCTTTCCAAACGGACTAATGACCTAGAAGACTGTAAGGATTTCATTGCTATCTCTTTTTTACAGACAGAGAGGCTAAGACACAAAACAGCAGCCAACTTGGCAAAGGCCACATGCTGGGTCGTGTGGTCCTGACTAGACTTGGCTCACTGTCCCAGGAACGGAGAGGCTCCAGGATGAAGGCTTGGGACAAGTGACCACGGTTCCCCTGGCCAGAGGTGCATCGGGTACCACGCAGAGGCGCCCAGGGGCGAGGGTGCTTCACTTCTATCCTGGGGCCCAGCTCTTTCCCTGCTGCCCCCAGCCATCTCCAGGCTTAGCTTGCTTTTCCTAAAGAGAATCCAGCCCTGGAGGGCCCTCTGTGGGCAGGTGCCAAGGGAGGGCTGCAGGAGCCTTGGCCAGGGGGGGTTTTGGGGCCCATGGGCCATGGCCTTGAGGGGCTTCTGAAGCCTCTGGGATGACCTACAAAATGAGGTGCATTTCTTCGGCCAGACGGTTCATGGTTTTGATCAGATTCTAAAAGGGACCCAGGATGCAAAAACTGTTAGTATTCACTATGATGGTTATGGACATGGGTGTTCGTGTGTGGGTGCGTGTGTCAAGGAGGAAAAGAATCAGGGCAGTGGGCACATGGGCTCCACACTCACCAAAATCGCTGGAACACATCTGCTCCATGAGGCCATCGGCACTGTGCTCCATCTCACACTGGGCACAGATCTTGGTCACTGAAGAGAGAAGCAGGGGTGGTGTCGAGGGAAGCTGATGAGGGGATCGGAGCCCAAAAGCCATTCGCCACCTGAGGAGCCACCGCCCCCTGCCAAGCCTCCACTCTCATCAGGAAATGGGACAATGGTAAGGGTGCTCACTGGGTAGTTGTGAGGTTCAAAAGAGACAAGGTTGCTGGGGGACAAAACTGCCCCCGTGGGCACAGTTGCTCCGTGACCCTAGCACCTGCCACCACGATGTGCATTGTCTTCTAAACTTTGTTTCATTTAATCCTCAGCCTCTAAAGTATTCCTATTAAAGAAAAGAAAACTGAGGTCCAGAGTGGGTACCCAAGTCTGCAATACTATTGCAAACTGAGCTTATAACTCAGGATGGGGGGTGTCTACAGGGTCTTCCTAGGGACACAGAGTCTGGGCAGGAGGGGAAACAAATGACACTGGCAGGACAGGGACTGTGGTAAACTGAGGAGCATCACCCTCTAAGGTGGGCACCTTAGCATTGCCAGGACTTCTGGGGTCTCAAAGGAAGCCCAAGCTCTTAATTTTTATATGAAATAGTTTCAGTTTTATTGTGGGCCGTACAAACCCTTCAGGCTGCTTCTGATTCTCAGGCACACATGGCACCTGCCCTCTGTCCTATGTCTCTGTCTCCAACTGCATGCCCCATCACAGGGGAAGGCAGGCTTCAGAGAGGGCAGGGCCTGGTAGGATTCTGAGTCTGAGCCCAGGACTTCCCTGTCTTCCAGGCTGTTAATGCATGGCTTCCAAGGAAACCAGAAAAGGAACCACACTGGGATCCCTGTAGGGACTGTGCTATCCCTGCTTGAGCTGGCTCGCTCTCCCCTGCTTCCTGGTCCCATTTCCAACCCAAGAATAGGGGATTTCCCGTCTCTCAACACTCCCCCGTGATAGGACCCCTGCCCAACTGTGACTCTCAGGAGGGACATGGGGGTGTAGGACCAAGGGCTACGTGGATGAAGTTAGCCCTGGCGGCGGAGGAAGGGGGATAGGGTGTGGTGGAGTCCAGTTGCCTTTTGTTGCATCAAATAAGAGGATGGGAAAGCAGTACTGCCCCTTGGGGGAGTCCCAGCATCAAGGGCTCCTTAGGCTCTCGAGTCAACTGCCCAGTCTTCTGCCGTCTGCTCAGTGCCACTGCTGGTTCTCCTGTCTGGTGCCCAACCCAGCCTTACTCTGCTTGCAAGGAGTTTGGGGGTGGGAGGTGCACAGTGAAGGGAGGCTGAGACCAGGGAGGAATTAGGGGTAATTAGGGACTTGGGGTGGGTGGGAGGTGGCACTTAGGAGCTCACAATTTTTGGAACCTGAGCTCACTTCCTATATTACTTATGGAAAAACTGAGGCTCAAAGTTTAGGCAACTCTTGAGGGCTCCTTGTTAGTGGCAGAGTCTGGCAATCTGCTCTTTTCTTCTGCACTGAGCTTTACCCCAAGGTCTCCTAGCCTGGGGGATTAGGGAAGAGAGTGGGAGAATTTAGGGTTCCCAGGCATGGAAAATGGTGTGTGTGGGGGTGGGTATAGCAGGGAAATGCGCTTACCCCACAGTTTTCCCCCATATCCTTTCCCTCAGCCCTCAACATGAGGAGGGGTTGGTGAGTCTTGTTTTGGTGCCTTGGGGTCCAGAGCTGTGTTGGAGGTGGACGGGCCTGGGCATTGTTTAGCGACTCTAGGCATTCTTAGGCTGAGAGAGGCCATAAGACATTTATGGGGACGCCTCTGGATAGGGGTCAGCATTGGGGCTACGCAGGGATTCCAGCGTCTTTGGAAGGTGAGCATTGGGAGGGATGCCAGGGCTGTATTCAGGAACGGAATCGGAATGGGGAGAACCAGTGAGCCTGGCCAGAGTTGCGGGGAGGCACTACCCTGGGAGTCTGAGAAGGCTGCAAGACTGGCGGGGGCAGGGGCGGAGGTGCAATTCCTGGGGCATGCAGGGCTGAGAGAAGGCGGGGTGTGTGTGTGTGTGTGTGTAAGGGGGTGGCCCCTCCGAGGGACTCGCGGGCTCCCGGGGCCGTCGGAGCGCGCGGGGGCGGTGGCGGCGGCGCTACCTGGAGGCGCGGTGGCAGGCAGGTGTCCGAACTGCATAGTGATGCAGAGGTCGTTGTCCAGGGGAAACTTGTGGCAGTGCAGCATCTCGGGCCAGGGGAAGCCGTAGGCCTCCATGAGTGGCGCGCAGCCGGCGCGCACCGCCTCGCACAGCGAGCGGCACGGGTAGATGGGCCGGTCGAGGCAGACGGGCGCGAAGAGAGAGCAGAGGAAGACCTGCGTGTCCGAGTGGCAGCGCTTGGCCAGCAGCGGCAGCCAGCTGCTCGCCTGCTGCTTCACCTCGGCCAGGCTCTCGTGCTCCAACAGGTTGGGCAGCCGCATGCGCTTATAGCCCACGGTGTGGCAGAGCGGGAGGTCGGCAGGGATGTCGAGGCACTGCGGTGGTTTGGAGTACGAGCGCCCGTGCAGCGGCTCCGCCTGCCAGCCATAGTAGTCGTACTCCTGGGCGCGCGCCGGCGCTCCGTGCAGCGCCCCCAGCAGCAGCGCCAGGGCAACCGCCCGCGCGCCCCTCGCCACCGCCCGCATGGTGCGCGGCGTCCCCAGATGCCCCGGAGTGCACCCGCCGCCCCGCCGCTCCCCTGCAGCCGCCGCCACCGCCGAGGTGGCCCGAGTGGTGGCAGCCTTCGCTCCCGCTCCCGGGCGCACCGAGTGATCCTGGCACCTCCCACCTCGGGGCTCCGGCCCCGGCCTCACCGCGCGCCCCAGCCAATCTCCGGCCGCCCGGCCCCCCGGCCCTGGCGGGGAGGCGAGGTGGAGCCCCCACGGCCCCTCCCGCCGGCTCTCGCGAGTCCCGCCCCGCGCCGGCTCCTGCGCCCCTCTCCCGCGCACCGGCCTCCTACCAGCACGGGGCTCGCCTTGCGCCGCTCCGGGGGGCTCCCTCACCTCCCTGGGCATTTCCTCGCGGATCGCGTTCTCCATCCTTCCTCCTTATCTCCCTCCGCCACAGCCTCTCCTGTTCCTTTTCTCACTCACTTCCCTTGCTTATCTGCCCGGCTCGGCCTTTCCCCCTCCGCTCTGCTTTCTCTTCCCTGACACCTCGGTTCTCCCTTCTCCTGGCAGGAGGCTCCCGGCTGCCCACACCCTCCTGTTCCAGGAGGGCAGTTCTTCACCCGACCGCCCTCAAGCCTGTGTTTGAGCTCCTGCCTGGTGCCGGGCACTGTGCTGCTGGCTGCCGGGGAATGAGAGATGGATCTGACCCAGGACCCTCACCTCCAGGGACACTGTAGCCTAGTGGGGGCGAAGGTAATCGTAACTGCCATTCAGTGAACTCTAGGTGCCGCGGACACTGCGCAGCCCTTCACAGCCTTATCGCCGACTATTTCTAGTGATAGCTAATACTTCTTGGGTACTTAGAGTGTCTGTTCGAAGCACATTGCATAAGTTACCCCATTTAATTCTCACAGTAATGCTCTAATAAGGCGAGTGGGTACTGTTATTATCTTCACTTTGCAGATAAAGGTACCCAGGCAAAGAAAAGTGAAGAGAGGATAGGGGCCAGGACTTGACCTCTGGTGGTCTGCTTCCAGAGTCAGAACCCGGGTAACCCCGGGAAGTCTGGATTCTGAATCTGCAGTCTGGCTGGCTTTGAGGGCCTTCAGGTGATGTCACTGGCCCTTAGTCACACAGCTAAGGGGTGAGAGAGTCAGGATTTGAATCCAGGTTTGGGCTCCAAACACCAGGGCTTAACTACATTGCCGGAAGATAAATTCCAGCCCAGGCCATGAAAGGCTGTGGAAGGAGGAAGGAATTGAGGCTATCCAGGGAGGCACTGGAGAGGAGGTATTCAGGAACCCCATGTTCCGCGTCTTTTCCTCCTGTCTGGGGCCTGCCTTCCGTTGGCTTTTCTGTGGGAGGAGCTTTGGAGGAATACTTGAGGGTAGGGGAGCTTCTTGTTGAGAGCTCAACCCGAGACCTGACCTCCCCAGTCTTTGGTGGGGGGGGTCCTCTGGGAAGACGTCTTGCAGGAGGGCTTGGGGCACTCTGGGAGCTGGGTCTGCCCCCACTCCACTTCTACTGTTACACCTCCTACCCCCTCTCCTCCTGAATGTTTCCAAGGCTCCTGCCTTCCATGGATCTGTCCTTGCAGTGGTAACAGAGGGAGATGAGGGGGCACTCTTCTTAATATTCAGCAGACACACAAAGCACCTACTGTGTGCAGGTGTGGAGGTGTGATGTATACACCACAGGTAGGGATCCAGAAATGCAGAAGTCTGCTTCATCTGCTCTAGCGTGAGAAAAAGACAAAAGGCAGGGCAGAGGACACAGAAGGACATCCAGCAGACAGAGCCCAGGGTGGGTTCAGGCAAAAGAGCATGACGAGGTTCTTTGGATGACCTGCCAGAAGGTAAAGACCCCTCCCTGTCAGCGCAGGCAGCAGAGTGTAGTGATGGTACAAGAGCCTGGACTTTGCAGACCAGGTTGAAGTCCGAGTGCATATTCCCTGAGTGACCTTGGGTAAGTACTTAGCTATTCTGACCATCCATTTGCTCAACAGTTATTGTGGGGGCCAAACAAAATGATTCATGGAAAGAAAGACCCCCCTCACAGTGCCAGCACACAGTAGGCACCTAGGAATGGAAGATCTCCAAGGGATGTATGCCTTGGGAGTGAAAATGTGATGTGTGTTCTGCAGGCTTCCTGGGATACCTTGGCCCTGGCTGTGGTTTGGGACCCTGAGCAGTAATTCTGTTCCCTGTGCTCCAGCTGACTCTTATCCCTGCTTCAGGCTTGGCAGGGCTTCTGCGGGGGAACATGTGGTCTTGGGCACTGGCAGGGGGTGTTGGCGCTCCCCAGGTGACGGGCAAGGTGATGGCTCCCTAGGCAGCTGGTGCGCCTCTGCTGGTCTCGTCGGCGCAGTGCTTGGCCCGGACAGCAGGAAGCGTTGTTCCTGCTGCTGGTGAGGTAAGAACCGCACAGGGGAAGAGCCAGGTGAGTTGTACCTGGCAGCTCTGGGGGCTCTTAAGGGCAGGGGTGCCAGTCTGGAAGCTGCGGGGAAAAGGAGGCTGGGCCATCTTTGTCTGACAACTCCCTGACACGGTGAGATTAAGGAGGGAAGGCCTTCATAGGAATGCAGCCCAGGTGGGAGCTGTGCCATGGGGCACTCATTCGGGAAGATCTCCCGCTGCAGCCAAGCCAGAGCCAGTGGGTGACCTTGGCTCTGCACTCTGATGTGATGCCTCTTCCTGACGAGGCTGTTCCAGGGCCTGCGCAGCTGTGTGGAGCACCTGGCAAGCTGGGCATCTCTCCATCGTGGGACTTCTGTGGTCTGTCCAGGTGCACATTGATTGCCCCCAGGTGATGGAAGGGACAGTCTGTTAAAAAAAAAAATGTGTGTATTTGTGGTTTGTTGTGAGCAAAGTTTTACATAGATACTTCTTAGGTCAACCTTGCTAATCGTGTAATCCAGTCCTACATTTTTCTGCCTTTTTATTGCCTGCTTTAGTGATTCTCCAGATGTGGTCAGGGTTCTCCAGAGGGTCCCCAAGACCTTTTCAGGGAGTCTACAAGGTCACAATTGTATGTGATTCAAAGATTCACTCTAAGTACAAGATAGATCAATGGATCTTAAGGTAACAGAGTAAGAAAAGTTTATGGGTACAGATTCAGGTTCTACGTTACAACCAACATTTAAGGAATGGCCACATGGCAATTTTTTAGTAGTATCAAAGAAGAATATCTACAGTGTTTGAAAAGGCTGTTAAAACATTATTCTCATTTGCAGCTACATTTCCGTGTGAGGCCAAATTTTCTTCATATACTGCAACCAAAATAACATGCAACGACAGATTGAGTGCAGAAGGAGGTATGAAATTCTGAGTCTAGTAAGCCAGATGTGAAAGAGATTTGCAAAAATCAAAACAATGCCACTCTTTTCACTATTTTTTTGTTTTGTGAAATATACTTATTTTTCACAGAATTTGTTATTTATCTTCACATATAAATGGTTTATTTTTGTTACTTTGTTACTTATTTTTGTTACTTTCGCTCAGTTTTAATTTTAGACATGCTAAGTGTAAAAACACCTAAACAAGGGGCGCCTGGGTGGCTCAGTGGGTTGAGTGTCTGCCTTCAGCTTGGGTCGTGATCCCGGGGTCCTGGGATCGAGCCCCGCATTGGGCTCTCTGCTCAGCAGGGAGCCTGCTTCCTCCTCTCTCTCTGCCTGCCTCTCCGCCTACTTGTGATCTCTCTGTCAAATAAATAAATTAAAAAAAAACCAACACCTAAACGAGGGGTGCCTGGGTGGCTCAGTGGGTTAAAGCCTCTGCCTTCGGCTCAGGTCATGATCCCAGGGTCCTGGGATCGAGCCCCACATCGGGCTCTCTGCTCAGTGGGGAGCCTGCTTCCCTTCCTCTCTCTCTCTGCCTGCCTCTCTGCCTACTTGTGATCTCTGTCAAATAAATAAATAAAATCTTAAAAAAAAAAAACCACCTAAACGAAAGGTCTGTAATTTAATCTAAAAACTTCAACCTTTTTTAAAAAAAAGGTTTTATTTATTTATTTCACAGAGAGAGAGAGAGAGAGGCAGTGAGAGAGTTAATACAAACAGAGGTACTAAGAGAGGGAGAAACAGGCTTCCTACTGAGCAGGGAGCCCAATGCGGGGCTGGATCCCAGGATCCTCGAATCATGACCTGAGCTGAAGGCAGACACTTAGTGACTGAGCCAGCCATATGCCCCAAAACCTCACTCATTTTTAAGAGTGTAAAGGGTTCCTGAGACCAGAAAGTTTAAGAACTGCTGATTTACTTATTGTGCTCATTTCTTTTCTTTCTTTCTTTTTTTTTTTAAAGTAATCCCTACACCCAGCATGGGGCTGAAACTCAGAACCTCGAGATCAAGAGTCGCATACTGCACTGACTGAGCCAGCCAGGTGCCCCTATTCTATTCATTTCCGATAGAGGTGTATAAAATCTACTTTGATTGTGGGTTTACTATTTTTTCCTTTTTTTGAATCAGTTTTGCTCTATATACTCTGAAGCTATGTTGTTACAAGCATAAGGGTTCATGACCATTATCTGTTCTGGTTGGATTATAATTTCTATCTGTATGAAATAGCTTTCTTCGTTCCTTTTGATGCTTTGTCTTGGGAATAATCATTCCATGCATGAACATTAAACTAGAGCCTGCTGTGGGCCAGGTGTATGCATGAAATAGTTTTGATTCCCATCCCTGTGGAGGACATGGACACACAAAGGCAAGGTAGTGTGGCAGGAAGAGTCTGGGCTTTGCGTCAGACTGACTGGTGGCGAATTCTGGCCACTTGCTAGCTGTGCATCCTTGGACATATGTCTGTTGAACTTTGACCCTTATTTTCTTCATGTGTAGACTGAGGTGAAGAACCTTTTTTTACTGGGTGTTAGTTAAGACTTACGGAAGCAAGGGAAGAGAGGAGCACCCAGCAGAGTGCCCGGCATATGGGAGCATTGTGATTAGCGTGAGTGGGAGATCCGCCCCATTCATGCCTCCCAAGGCCCCACCGGGAGGGGCAGTGCATGGCAGTGGGGAGTGTACCAAGCTTGGACTTAGAAGATCTCAGTTGTGTGTTTTCAACTTAATAGCAAGTCCTCCCAGCCCCACATGCTCAGTGTCAGTTTCCTTATTGGTGAGATGGGGAGGACCACCTCTGCCTCACATTTTCCAGGGGGTCATCCTGAGGAGC